GAATCTTTTATTTCAAGTACAAAAGATCTTTTTGGAAGAGCTGGTGAATAGGATTTTTACTCAAACTTTTAAATGAGTCTGGTCAAATACTGCGTGTTCTCTTTTCCTCTTCTTTCTAGGCCACGCTCAAGTAATGAAATATTTACTGGATGCCTTCTAATGACGTGGCTGGTTCTTGATGAGAGTTACACAGGCTTTGGGAACCTGGTGGATCCTAAAACCTATGTTTGTGTGATGATTCTGAAACATGCCTAAAGGGTTCATCTCTCCTGTGAGAGAATTACAAGTAGATATAAATCATATCCCTCACACAGGAGAGAGAGATTCCCCACACACACCTTCTTTACCAAAGAGAACTTTGTCAGCTTCTAAGTAGGAAGGAATTTTAGCTCTTCTGTTGCTACTATCACTTCTGAGTTGTCCCATCTTTCACCATATTTGCATCAGCAGATACAGACAATGCTGGGTTTTTTCCACTTGTAGTAATTTGAAGAGTAATTACAGCTTTTAAACTGAAATTTGCCAGGAGTTTTCCAAGTAGCATAGCTCAAACTGTTCACTGTTCTCTTTTCATCTCTGTTTGGAAAAGCTAAGGACTTCCCATCTGAAGACTTGGAAAAACAGATGGATTGAACCATGTTAAAAAGTACTTTGGTACCTGAGAGAATAAGGAACAACAACTTAATTTTCAGAGTTATTTTTGGCTTCTTGTCAGAGAAAGCCTCCTATTTTTTTGTAATTTAAATGTGAATCAACTGGAAAGCTTAGCATAGGTAACAGTTCATGTTACTGGTATAGTATCTAGGTTTATAAACACTTAAAGAAATCTTATGTGATTGAAAAGTCTTTATGGAAGTTTCATTTGTGTTCTTTCCTAACAGAGTCTGGCAGAACTAGAAGTACTATGTAACCACCTATATGAAGGAACTGATCTAGCACAGCGAATGCAAGCTGAGAAGGTACTCTTGGAGCTTATTGATAGCCCAGAATGTCTTAGCCAATGCCAACTTCTATTAGAACAAGGAACAGTAAGTATCTGAAAGTGGTGTTATCCATAAACGTAATCATGCTTGTGGAAGGTCGCATAGCTTGGAAGCTCAGTCATGGGCCATTACCGTGTCAGTACAATAAAGGCAAAATGCTTTTCTCTCTCTTTTTTTTTTTTTTTCCTTTGGTACATCATCTGTTTCATAAATGATTCTAGAAATTTTTTCTTTTAGAGGTGGTCTTTGTAGAAGTGCATTGCATTAGAGATGTCAGGGACAAAAAGGGACAGTATCTTAGCTTCCAATACTTCCAGAAGGGTTGTAATCAGGGGTTGTGTCACCTGTGGAGCAGTGTTGGGAGACAGCATGGTATAACCTGGTGTTTGAACATCACCTTGTTCTTGTTTCAAGCTATTAGCTACAATGAAAAAAAAAAATGTATTAAAAAAAAAAAATCCCTAAACTGCTTGTCTGTTGTCTTTTAGTTTAAACCATTCTATTATCATTACTCAGTTTCATTTTTGGTGTTTAATTTCATGGTTAACTTTAGATAAAATGGTTGGGGAGTTTATTCTTATTTGATAGTCAAAGCTGAGTCTAGTATAATTCTGGCTGTGTTTGTCAAATCATTCAAAGAGAGAGAGAAAGAAAAAGAGGAAACACATTTGAAAAATATCTTTAATGCATGGATGGACCCACGGTAATCATCTCATGGTTCTAAATTATCAGGTGATTTAAAAAGAGATTGCAAAACTAAAGAACTTAATTGAATAGCGAAATTACTTTTAAATGAATGGTTTCCATCAAAAGGGATGATAGTTTTAGGTCTCCACTTTTTTATTAGTGTTTTGTAGTTTATGTTTATTTATAAGGAAACAAAGATATTACTAAAAATACGTATTTTATAAATTTTTGGTACACTTAACAAAAATAAATGAAAATCTGATAACCAGTCTGGTTTATTGATTATTTATTGGGTTTTGCCTTTAATCAGCCTATTTTTGAATAGTGTCTTTTGATGTGTCTTTGTAGACATCCTATGCTCAACTTCTAGCAGCAACATGCCTGTCTAAGCTTGTAAGCAGGGCGTCGCCATTACCTATCGAACAAAGGATTGACATACGTAAGTAACGTTTGTGGTTAAAATTTCATTCTATTAGTTGGATCTAAAACTTCACGTTTTAGTAACCACTGAGTGAATAGTCCGTTTTTTCTGTAGTTCCCTCCATTTACCCAGCCTGTTATTCATAAGGTAGCCATTATGAGAGAGTGAACGTAAAGGCGATTGTGAGATCTTTCATCATTTCTCTGCCATTAGCTCACAAATAACATTTCTTAGTTTCAAAATTAAAATAAACAAATATATTACTTCATATTTTAAAAAAAAATACTAATTTTTTCCAAGATAGACTTTGCATTTATCTTACAAAATGCTAAAGAGATATAGTTGATGTTTATTAAGGATGGAAGTTGCAGATACTGCTAGGACACCTGCCAGTCACTTATAGGTAACGTTGCTTATGATCAGCTCTTAACATTTGTACAAGTCATGCCAGGACAGGTTCTTACTTGCAGGATTCAGCTCTTTCAATATTTTCCTTACTCTTTAAGATCTATGTTAAAGTCATTGCTATATCCTAGAAGAGTAAGCAAGTATGTGTTAGGTCTTCAACAGTGAAAAGCTTTGCACAAGGAACATATGATTCCATTTGGATTTTGAGAAAGTCTTCACTGTTGTATCAGTTCTGTGGGTAGTAGTACTCTAAAAATGCATGGCTGAAAATCCGCTGCTTTTGATAAAAGATTTCAATGTTCTTTTAGGTAAAGATTAGCTTTAATCAACTTTAATTTTAGGTCTTTCAACAGCTTTTGAAACAGATTAACTTTCTTCTAGTTAGAGAGAAATTTCTACAGATGCAATGTGCATTACCCAGAGGGATATTCTAGATTGAATTGAGAACAGTAGGGACTCTTGTCTGAAAAATCTTTTGTGTATCTTGAGTTGACTGTGACAACTGCTGTTACATAGTGAAATAATCAGTGCCCAGTATATGTAGGACCATAATGAAAAATTACTCTGTTTTACCTGCCAGCGTTCTCTGAATTCACAAACTGTTGTCATATGTGTCCTAGAATAATGATCACATATGTAATGTGCTTTGTATTACTAAATGTTTAGCTGTATTTAATGATTTAACGTAAATTACAGTTATTGTGCTAACCATAAGAATATAGATATTTTTATTTTTTTTGAATTGATGCATTGAGTTTCTATTGGAACCATTTAATTAATTTTCTTTACAGAAGACTTGTGTTGCTGATTTTAAAATGCTTCTTTACAGGAAATTACATTCTGAACTATGTAGCATCTCAACCCAAACTGGCTCCTTTTGTCATCCAAGCTCTTGTTCAAGTCATTGCTAAAATTACAAAATTAGGATGGTTTGAGGTACTAAAAGATGAGCTCATCTTCAGAGACATTATTGGTGATGTAAAAAAATTTTTGCAGGTAGGAAACAATTGTTCACTTCTGCCATTTTTTTCTGTTTGGACCTCTTCATTTTTAGTGATTGGTATGTTATGTCACTTAGTTGTCATACACTTGGGTGGAAAAAGTGTGAAGAGCATTGCTTAAAACAGAAGATCACCCTATAGTGAAGAACAAGGGTGGGTTTGATACTTGCGTGAGGTTGTGGGTTTTGATGCCTCACAGTATTCATAGTGCTGTCATGGTTTGTTGATTTTCTTTTTCCAAAGCACTTTTCCATAGTGTGGTTGTAAAACATTAACCCCTGTTGTCAAGCCATTCTATTTAATGCCTTAATTTTTTTCAGCTAATGTAGAGATACATTTCTGATAGTGTTAGCTCCAGTTACCTGGTTAGAAACACTGGTACTGCGTCACTGGTACTACCATCTGAAGAGTAAGACACTCAGTGTTTTAAAGCATGAGTCTGGTTGCGATTCTTGTAATAATGACCGCTAAAATTGTGCCAAACTGTTCAGTTCTAGAACGAGTTCAAATGTATTTTTTTCAAGTGCCTGTCACAGAGGGTTGATCAAAAAGATACCTTTATGAACTATTTGTTGGAGTATTCACTGTTACAGTCTTATATTGTTGCTTTTCTGTATAAGCAGTGGGACTTCACCTGCACTTTAATTTTTAGCAGAGATCACTAGTTATCCCTGCTTCTGAAGTTAATGTGGAAAGCCTGTGTAAAGATAGAGCTGTGGTACACAGAATTGCAAGACACTATATGTATTTGTTATGTGGTTGTGGTCCTTGTTTGCTCTGTTCCTTTTTCACTTTATGAGAAATTGTTGATTCATATTTGTGTGCATGGGTACTTAGATACCTGCATGTATGTATGTTCTCTCTCTATACACGTAAAGAGGAGTGAAAGAATAAAAACCCACAAAATGTTCTGTCTCTCCTGGGATTATGGTGTACAGTATAGGCAGATGGATGATAAATTCAGAGTGTTTTTATAACTTTACCTATTTTAGCATATGTATTTAAATCTAACATACCAGAAAAATTATGCGTTCTAGGTAGGGATATGGGGAAGTTTGGGAGGAAAGGTCACTCATCTTTCCTCTCTAGTAATGGGATGAGGCAGAAATGTTCTTGTTTTACGTTTCCTTCCATGTTATTTCCTGTTCCCCCGCTGCACTGGTCACTGTTACAAAGAAGAAGAGTTACAAGATAGAGAGGTAATCTTGATGCACAGTATTTGAAAATTGGAAATAATTTTTTCTAGTATCAGACTGCAATCATTCGCTATGGACTGTTCGCTGTGCAAATTTACATGTCAAGTCTAGAGTAAGTACTGTCAGACACAGTGGCTAAAGATACAGGATATACAACATCTTCTGTGAAGGATGTTTGGAGAAAGTGATTGGATGTCATGGGTTATTAGCCAGACCTGATTATTTCATACATTTAACATGTATAAAAAGGTGCTTAAAAAGTTTTCTGGGAGATGGTTAATCTGCTTTAAAAGTTAATACAGATTAATCTTTCTGAGTGTCTGTGTGAACGTGAAGTCTAGTACTTATTTTGAGAAAAAATCATTAGAAAATTTAAGCTATTTGGAGATTTTCTTCCAAAATGATCCATTATGTGTGTATGTGTTGGTGCTCCTGGCAACTCATCAAGAAAATACGAAGTTAACAGTTTATGTGTCTTGCCAATGAGTTTCTCATTTGTTTTTCAGTCTTTCTTTTTTTATAATACTGTTCAAGTTAATGTAGTTTTTGAGTTACATTGGGAGTGTCTAATAAAAGATAAGTTACAATATTCTGTTTATTAGAAACAAACTCAAATATACTTCTGCACCATTGTGCAGTTATTTTTATGAATGTACTGTAATTGGATTTTGCATTTATTATTAAAATGATTGCAGTGTGACTCTTCAGTGTGGAGCTCATTAAAAATAGAGATTTAAATACAAAATTTAGTTTCTTAAGAGATTTCTTTAGTTAAATTAAGAATTCCTGCAGAAAAGAAAATTAAGCCATAGATCTACCAGTGAATTAAATTTTAGATAAAAATTGAAAAAATAATCCCTAAACAATACTAATATATGTTAATAATTAGCATATAGTAGTTTCAAATACATATGCATTAGCATTCCAGATTGAAGTTCAACCAGTGTGAATTTGAGTGTGATTTAATATAGAAAAAAGGATTAGCAGCTAGGTCTGCAGTTCTGTTCCCGGCATCTTCATAATTCACCACACAGCTTTTCACACCTGTGAAAAAGAGGAGGTTGCATTTTCCATTTTTGAAGGTTTGTGTGATCTAAGGAATGTTCATGTAGACTATTTTAAGAATTTGAAATGTAAAAGAAAGTCATGTTCAAATTACAGTATAGGATGTTTAATCTTACTCAATGCAGATAGGACAGCAATATACATTTTGCCTTAGAGTTCTCTGAAATTTTCTCTTCTGATTTGCTTTGGTGCAAGTGATAATACAAAATAGATTACAGTGGAAAGTTAGACCCCTTGGTAAGAAGCCACATTCTTTGTTAGTTGAACTTCGGGTGATCTTCAGAGTTGCAAAAAGGAGTGTGGTTAGTAAAAATAATCAGGAAAATTTTGACAAGGAAGACATTGCTTTTTGGACACCAGGGGAGCTGAGGCTGCAAACTGCAGCTGTGAAAATAGAGATAGAAATCTTCTGCCTGACTCAGTGACAAGGCCTAATTGCAGTTGATTTTAATTGTTTTTAACTAAGCGTATGTAATTTTTCTATAAATGTTTTGTAGCAGCTCAGTGAAGACAGCTAAGTTTTATTAATTAAATGCAAAATTCTACATTGTATCTGAATTTCAAAACATTCGAAGCAACTTAAATACTGATGATCAGATTGCACCCTCAGATGTAAATATTTGACACCTACTGCCTCGCTTTTTAGACACAAGTTCTCAGAGATGGGATGTATCATTCAACTCAAATCAATGCATTGTATACTACTGTGGAGGGAAGACAATTTTTTTTTTTGATAGGTAGCATTTCAAAACTTTTTACTGGGAGTGTCCTGTGATCTTTTTTTATCCATGCATGGCTTAATTATTTTTAATGGTTTGAATTTCATGCAGCTTGACTTACCAGTTCTAGAATACTGAACAGACCTTTGAGAAATGTGTAATAATGAATTTTTAGATTGCAGTTAGCTACAGTCTATTTTCAGACTGGTTTTTGTTATCACACAATTCTTAAAATTTATGATGCGTGTTTTTTTTCAGAGCTAATTAGGGAGTTTGAAGGTCTAGTTCTATCAATATTGATAGAATTTGGCATGAAAGCCTTCTAAACAGCTTAGTACATCTCAGCCTAAAAATCCCTCTTGATTCTAGAAATGTTGGAAAATAGTAACTGCAAGCTGTGATGTTTGAACAATCCTATCTGTTTTTTTTTCTGTAGGGCACTGTGGACCATTATATAATAGGAGTAATGATTCTCTCAGAACTGACTCAGGAAATGAATCTAGTAAGCATGCTTTTTTTTGTTTGTTTTTTTTTTTCCTTCTGCAAGGGATGTGTGTACTGCTGTTAAAGCAGTGTTTTGAATGTTTCTACCCTTCATAAAAATGATTGGAGAAACATTTCTTAGACGTGAAGGGATTAACACACCTTCCTCTCCCCGCCAAAACAGAGACACACAAGAAATTCTTAGTGCAGGGACGTTACCTGTACCAGATACATACCATATCTGATATGGGGTAAAGTTTCTGTCATCACAGTCACTAGAACTTGTAAAGCAAAGTGAATGATCAACTTTTTCAATTGTCTTTCTGCTGATGATTTACTTTTGCCTACATCTTAACCTGAGGAAGTGCCTCAGACCTTTCCATCCAGAAAGAGAGACAACCTTGAAGGGAAAAAAGGAGGTGCTTCAGGAAGCTGTCAAGGCTTGTCTATGGTCCAAGCACTGGACCATAATTTTCATTTCTAGTGTCAAATAGTTAATCTGCCAGATACACCTGTCATCTAGTTTTAGCAAAGAAGGGAGCATTGTTTATTCTGTCCTAACTTTTCTTAGGTTGATTATTCAAGACCTTCAGCAAAACATCGTAAAACAGCTACCTCATTCCGTGACACCTCTCTAAAGGACATACTGATGCTTGCGTGCTCTCTTTTGAAGGAGGTGAGGCTCTTTTATAATTGAACCTAAGTTGTGAACATTGTAATTATCCCAGTCTAAGTCCTTAATAATATCTGAGTTGATGAATTCTGTACTTAAATGGATTACATGATAACCAGTTAAGCTCAAGTGACCAAAAAAGCTTCAAAGACAAAAATTCCAGTCTTCCTTCCTTCATGTCTCTCTTGCTGTCTCTCAGTCTTTCTCTCTGTGCCATCTCTTTCTCTCTCTCTCTTGCCATAACGACTGAACTATTTAAATTCTGCTTGTTGTCTTTGTTGATGTTTTTTCTTAATTTAATTGTATCTCAGTTTTGCTGGGCCTACCATCTCAGCATTTGCTAAAAGAATTATTTATTAAACTAGGAACGACCAAGAAGACAGACAAATTCTCTGTCTTGTGGTATGGCAGTGCAGTCAAATCTGGCCGAGGTGTTTTTCTCCTTCACTAGTTCCCTTATCCTCTCTGTAACGTTTGGGGTTAATTCAGGCTCGAGACTCTCAAGAGCCTTGGCAGGACGTGCTGAAGAACAGCATGCAGTCAAACCTGGAATTTGCACTTTCCATTTTGTGCTGATCAAGGCCTTCCATAGCAGTGGCACCATGAGGTAACATTCTACTTCCTCTAAGCTCAACCAAGTCTTTGCTTTTGAGGGCAGCTTATTTTTTAAACATTGCCTGATTTCTATTCCGTGACTTATTTGAGAGTGTTGGTTTAATCAGTTTTTCTGAAAACCACATGAATTCAGTGTTGAAATTTGGACACGATGTTTAAACTAAGCATTTAAACACAGATGCCTTCACAGTGGGTCAGTGGATAGATAATGGTATGATTACTCTTTGGCTAAAGGTATGATTCTCAAGGTTGAGATATGTGAGAGAACATATATAGGTTGAGAACGATCTCAAGTTGCGCCAGGGGAGGTTCAGGTTGGATATTAGGAAGAACTTCACGGTAAGAGTCATTAGGCATTGGAACGGGCTCCCCAGGGAGGTGGTGGAGTCACCATCCCTGGAGGTGTTCAAAAAACGTTTAGATGTGGCGCTTCAAGACATGGTTTAGTGGGTTTAGCGGGCATGGTGGCATCGGGTATACAGTTGGAGTTGATGATCTTTGAGGTCTCTTCCAACCATAATGATTCTATGATTCTATGTGATTGAGGTACTGCTGTAAAAAATTAGCTTAAATTTCTTTCACAGTACGTTTTTAGTCTAAGTAACATGTCTTACGTCAGATTTGCACTAAGTTTAAAGGACACATGTTGTCAGCTACCAATGCTCAGGTGACAGGCAGTATATTTTTTTAATATATAGAGCAATTAAATGATGTGTAAGCCCTCACCTCTTAAGAGGGAATGCTCTACTAGTGTACACTGAATGTTTTAAATCAGTGTTGGAACTGTATATTAATGGAGAAATAATATATAATTTAAAAGAAGAATTGGATCTTTTTGGAGGAATCTTCTTAGATATAGTAAACCCCATTACACATCAAAGCAATAAACATAGGTGGGAGAACCTGTATCCTATGGCAGCTGCTTCCTAGCTTTCTTGAAGTTCAGCTGGACTAAGGGTACTTTTTTAGTCTCTCATAGGTTGAAAGGTTTGTCTGAGTGACATCGCACAGATTTCCAGACAGAAATATAAGAAAATTATAATCAGTATCTTTATACTAATGCCAACTTTGGTATAGGAAGCTGGTTTTAGAACTATTTCAGTGTCTATAATACACTGAAAAATACACTCAACTAACAAATGTGGAATTATTAAAATAATTCCAAGAGTTTAAAAGTTACAGAGAGGATTGCTGGCAAAACAGGTTATGTTTATACAAGACATACAGAAATTCAATGTTGATTTCAAAGCCAAATTCATAATTTACTGTCAATTCTAATGTGGTGCAACAGTTATTACCAAGTTAATGAGAGATCTGATGACACACAGTTGATTTTAATTCCTATCATCTGAATTTAGAAACTTTTGTTAATAAGCTCGAGAAATGTGGCTTTGAATTGAAATAAGGAGCAGATGAACTACATAAAGTTGTTGCATTTGCATTTATTTTATTGTTTTTCTAGACAAATTTGTGTCAATTTTCTTTTTAATGTTAATGAACTGCATCAATGACTAATGAATTTGAGGTTTGTTTTCAGTGCCTTTATATTATGTGTGTAATCTTGAGGTAGTAATTTCTTTATTTTAAAGTGTTGTTTAAAGTATTATAATTACAGAGGAGATCGATAAAATGTATTCTTACTCACAGTATGTTGAGTATAGACTTCCAAATCCCAATGGCTTGTTTTGCTTACAAAGTACCTTTTTATTCTGACACAACAGGGGTTATAAAGCAGTAGAGACACTAACATCTGTATTTATACAGGTGTTGTAAATAGCTACATTCAGATTACAGACTGTTCATTTCATTGTTTTTTAATGCCAGGTGTTTCTAGACTTACCAAAGGAACAGTCTTTGAGTATGCATGATGTGAAACTCATTCTGTTTAGCAGCCTGGACATCAAACTGAAAAATAACCAATCGTTGAGATTTTTTTTTTACCCATATGATGTATATGACATATACTCCATGCTGGTGTGGAGTAACTGAGAGAGAAAAATATCAAACCTTACAGTTTAATATTTGCAGTGAACATTAGCACTGATTTAACAAACAGTATTAGTGACATGTTGAGTTTTACTTGTAAGTATTTTACGCGAAAGGATTATTTCACCAGGCTTTTAAAAATTATTCATAAGTCTGGGAGCTTTAGCTTGATGTTTCTCTTAGTATGTGTTTTCTTGCTCTGAACTTTGCAGTTTTACATCCAAACATTTTCCTTTTCAAAATTGTTTTTAAAGCATGTTCTGTGCAGGTGACCTAATAAAGATTTCTTTTCTCCTTAGCTTTTGGCAAAACCTTTAACCCTTCAGGACCAACAGCAACAAAGTCTAGCAATGCAACTGTTGAAGCTTGTGCTAAATTGTCTTAGTTTTGACTTCATTGGAAATTCAGCTGATGAATCTGCAGACGACCTGTGCACTGTGCAGATTCCAACAAACTGGAGAACAAGTAAGAAAGGATCATAACTGTTAGTAGCCTGAAGTCTGTACCCAGTGGATTGTGTAACTTCTTTTGTCACAATACTTGCAAATATAAAATAATTTTTAATGTGGAGTAGACTTCTTTGCTGGTGAGTTATTGGTAAACTTCTTCTGCTATTTCACATTTTTCCTATTGTTGTTTTTACAGACAGAAATAATAAATGTAGTCTATAACATAGATATTCACAGTAAATCAAATTATTCTAATTGGATACTGAATACTATTCTCATTCCTGGTATATGAACACCCTGAAGAGGTACAGCATTTGTAGCATGTCTGTTCTCTCTTGTCTTCTTCCTGATGAGAAAACTGTGTTAAATTATTTTTTAGTGTGCTTGTTTGCTCTAGTATGTGAGCTTGTTAATGAAGGCAGCAGAAGGGTTGCATCTTGTTTCTTAGACCCTAGAGGTTTGACTTCCTGGGCTTATAGAGTGCAGATGGCAGCCTAGTATAAATATGTCTGTGGTAGGTTGACCCTGGCTGGATGCCAGGTGCCCACCCCAGCTGCTCTGTCCCTCCCCTCCTCAACTGCAAGGGGAGAGAAAATATAATGAAGGGTTCCTGGGTCGAGATAAGGACAGGGAGAGATCACTCGCCAATTACCGTCATAAGCAAAACAGACTCAACTTAGGGAAAATTAATATAATTTATTACCAATCAAATCAGAATAGGATAATGGGAAATAAAAACAAATCTTAAAATACCTTCCCCCCACCCCTCCCTTCTTCCCAGGCTCAACTTCACTCCTGATTTTCTCTCCCTCTTCCCCACCAGCAGCGCAGGGGGGACAGGGAATGGGGGCTGGGGTCAGTCCATCACCCGCTGTCTCTGCCGCTCCTTCCTCCTCAGGGGAGGACTCCTCACCCTCTGCCCCTGCTCCAGCCTGGGGTCCCTCCCACGGCAGACAGTCCTCCATGGACTTCTCCACTGTGGGTCCTTCCTAGGGGCTGCAGTTCTTCACGCACGGCTCC